TGCACTTGCGTCTGGAACATCAATTGGGACCCAATGACCTGCACCCTGTGGTCATGCAACTGTGCAGGATCTTTACGGCTGAACACTCGGATGCTCCATATTGTGACCATTGTGGTGAACTGCTGCCGACCTTAGACATCATGGAATTTGATCCAGTTCCAGAAATTCATTTGCCAGGATGTCCACTGATTCAACATTTGGCGGCATTTCTGATGCATCCGGTGCTACACAAGCAGCCTTATGATCATCTTGCCTGGCCAACACCACAGGCAGTTGAAGCTGCCTTTCAGCGACAAGATCATCAAAGACTGATGTTCAACGTATGCCCCTCAGACACAGATGGTAAGGATTTTGACACCTTGGTATTGGGTGGCCTTCAGTATTTACACGATGATTTGATCATGGAAATCATTGATTCACACTGTCTCATGTGCCACAGACTGTTTTTACTCCCGGGTGCTCTCATCCAACATGTCAAGCTACATGACTACAAGCAGTACAACACCATGTGGTGCTTACGCCGACTGCAATTGATCTGCAATCCATGTCCATGCTGTGGCTCAGACCCTCATCCTGAGAACTTCGTCTGTCCGGCGTTGTTGAACCTGGCCATTCTCTTGACCAATGGGCGCCGATCTCGACAAGGCGAGTACGATCTGGGCCAACTTGTTGACAGAAAGTCAGCTCCAGAGCTTGGGCATCAAAGACGAAGAGAAGGACCAACCAAACAAAAGACCACGAAGAAAGGATCGCAGTGTGTCAACCTCAGCTTCTTCAGCAGACGCACAGGCCTTGATGAAGGTGATGGCGAAACTCATCCTCCGCCACGAGGACACCATTCATGTCTTACTTCAGGAGTACGAGTTTGTCCTTTGGATCCAACCGGGAGAGGGCAGTCTACTGCCAGTGTTGATGGCTTGTCATCAAGAATGGCAGAAAAGTGCCAAGAGTCAATCCCTGCGGCATACGATGGCATTGAAAACGATCGAGACCTTGAGGGATCGGTTGGACAGATTGCAGAAAGCACAGCCCAGTGCGGATGTGGTACAGGATTGCATCAAGTATCACCTCATCGATGCCAATCAGATGATGCCGTATCTACGTTGGGATGTGGGAGCACAGGCATTGCTGCCGACGAAGGACAAACCCTTGCCAATTGGAGAGGTGAGTCGCATCCTCCAGACGATCCATCAGATCTTGCAGTCCGAGCCGGAGATCACACTCAGGTTTCATTCGATTTCGAAGCCTCAGACAGCAGAGGCCCAAGGGAAAGCAGTTCCTTTCCTGTGGACAGTGGGCAGCAGGACGCAAGGGGAACTGTGGAATCACTTGCGAACCATATCATTTCACAGCATTTGGCAACTTGTGAGATTGACGTTGCGGCCCCAAACACAGCAAAGGACTGCGCTGGCGAAGCAATTGGGCAAGATGTTGTAGATGACAAGCCGAAGCTGATGGTCAGAGTTCTTGAAAATGACTCTTCCACCATGTGTTTTGTCAATGCAGCTTTGATCGGCCTAGCCTGGTGCTCATTGCTATGTCAGGGTTTTTCCCCCTCCTGCTGGGCTCATGGCTTTGAACTTTTGCGGGGACTTTGTCAATGGAATCCACTTCCGTTGAACTTGAGGGTATTCCAGCCCTTCTTGTGGCTGCTCTTTGGGGCTTTCCAGCCAGGGGATCTTTCGGAACAACAGGACATCTTGGAATTTACGGCTTTCATTATTGATCGCTTGGGTCCATCCTTTCTCTCATGTCGCTGGTGCACCCGATTCCAATTTGTCACTCATGAGACTCATCCGATGTTGGACAGCGAAAAGGGCGATCGATATGCACCAATTTTGATCAGATTTATTCACTATTTAGATTTGGCATGCAATCTTACAGATCTCATTGCACATTGGCATGACTCCCTAGGTGTTTGTCGAGCAAGCGATCAGGAGCGGCATTGTCTCATCCTCATGTTTGACAGACACATTGAGGGACAGAACAGGAAGTGCACACAAAAGATCCAGATTTCTGGCGATACAGTTCACTTTCCGTGCTTTGCTGCTGCCGATGGTCAGGTTGCATTTTTACCATTTCGTATAGCGGCCATTTCCTATCACATTGGTGCCAATCCAAATACAGGTCATCATCGCACTGCCCTAAAATATCAGGGTCACTGGCTTGTGTATGACGACAACAAGTTGCCTGAGCATGTGCATATTCTTTCAGATGAAATTTTGTGCAACATCACGATGATCTGGCTTATCCTGCCAAATTTCACTGCTGTCAGGACCATGGATCGCAATCCTATTCGTGATGCTGCTCTGGCGCCCATCTCTCTATCAGCTGGAAGTTCGCCACAGGATGCTGGAGACATGACCAGCACTGAGCCCCCTGCATGCAGTGCTATTTTGACTTCGGCTTCATCTACAGATGAACGCAGAGCGGATCTGAGTGCCCCGACGGACTCATCAGAATCGGTGACCAAGAGAGCTCGCAAGGACGCCACCTGATCCTGCCTCTCATTCTTTTGCAGCAGTCCTGAGACTTTTGTGAATTTGTCTTAGCTTTGTCTGTACATGACATTTTGCACTGAACTGCATGAGTTTCACCACGGCATTTTGCCGCCAGTTTTGCACAGTGCTGCAATGTGCGTTGCGGTTGATAGCAATGCATTACATGGCATTTTGCCAATTTCCATGCCATTTTGGCAACTATTTGATGCCTAGTCGGCGATTGACTCATATGTTCTTTTCGTATACGTCCTAGTTCCTGATGTCGTGCCCCGAGAAGATGGCCAAAAAAAAAAGGCCAAGAGGCGTAAGCCCACTCAGCACGAAGCCAAAAAAAAAATGTCATCATATAAGAGGTCCCCTCATTAGGAACGACATTGGCTGCGGCGGTGCTATCTCTTGCGGCCTGGCACACTGATGCTGCGCTGAGCTGCGGGGCGGCCTACATGCGGCTGCGGGCGCTGCTGACACTTCCCTTGGCTGCGGCTTCACCTGAGGCGCTGGGCAGCGAGCTGCAGGCGGCAAATCTGAGCGATGAGAGGCTGGTAGAATCTCTTTTTCACTGTCTCATTTCTCCTGTAACATACCATAATGTTACTTCTTTAGTTTTTCACTGGCAAGACCGTTCCTCTCTAACCAAATTGAGGGAACTTTTGGTCAAAGCCAAAATAGCCCCAAGGGGCGAAAATCAGTCTGGAAGTCCCACTCAACGGTACCCTGAAATGGACCGGTATTGGGCCACATGCAACAAAGCATGCGACGGGCTCGACCTGCTGACAAATCATGTCATGGGGTTCAAAAAACACACACACACACACAAGCCCTTTGCCACCCCCGTGTGGCGCTCAAGTGCTCAGACGAGCGTAGAGACCTCCTGCACTGTTGTGTATCATCGTTGTGCCATTCGAGCTTGCTGTCATTTTCGGTGCTGTGATTTCTTTGTTGCCACTCTCCATTTCCGCAGCTGCTTTGATTTTGTTTCCAGGGAACCGTTTTTCTCATTGAGCGACATTTGCTGAATTTGGGCATTTCATTGATTTCATTAGAAGGTGGCAATACCTTCTCTGGCCTGGCAAGACGACTCTTTCAGTGATCTTCATTTTTCCAGGGTTCTATTTTCTACTGGCTGGACTCAGTTTGATTTGGAATTTTCTTGACGGCGGGGTGGGCTCCCGATTGCCGCAGACTGGCCCTTGCTTTGCACCTGTATTTGCAGATTCATCATTTTTCAGCACGCCAATTTCCTGTGGGGTGGGCTCCTTCACTTTCACTGGCCCTTTTTGTGAAGATTCAGCAGGTTGGTGTACGGACCCTGCCGGCGACATAACCAGTGGGGTGGGCTCCCGACTGACCATTTCTGGCCCTTTCTCAGCCGAGTCCTTTGCGTGGACAAACTTTTCAGTGTTTTTTGACTTATTCACTGACACCAATTTTGCGACGAACAGTGACACTTGGTGCAACTCACTGCAGACTGGAATTGCCAGTGGGGTAGGCTCCCACAATTTTTTAGGCCCTGATTTCAAATATTTTGCAACATATTCTGAGCTGGGGGGCGCTCCCACGCTGATCTGCATTGCTATCACAGCTGACTGGGTCACACATCACGGGGTTGGCTCCCACAGATCTTTTTCTGGCCTTGTGACCTCTCCAGCTGTACTGAGCGGTGCGTCTGGAAGTTGCTCCGCACATCGACACATTGTTCGACAAATTGTTCAGTGGAATCCGATACTCATTGCCGCTCACTGCAGGGTTGGCTCCTGTTCAATATTTACTGGCCTGGCAACTGAGTATCCCATTTTTGGATCTTTTGCGATCTTCATTTTCTTGCAACATATTCAATTTTCAGGGGTCGGCTCCCTTACTCTGACTGGCCGTGCTTTTCCTGCTTTTCTACATACAGATCATTTCCATTGGATTGGGTTGGGCGCCCAGACTGCTTGTCCCAAAACATTTAATTTGGAGACTTTGATTTCTGACTTGGTACAAGCGTGGCATTGTGACACAAACAGGGGTGGGCTCCCTTGGATATATTTTCACTGGCCCTGCTGGCTCTGCTGGCAACTGTGGACGACATTTCTCACGCTGGTACAAGGAGTTTCCCATAGCTTCACGATTTTGTTTATTTCTGGTGATCGAGCCTTGACATTGACATCTCAAGACACAGCGGGGCTCCCACCTGTGCTGATTTCATCCTTGTTTTCTGAATACATTTTGCGACAGTGGCCATTTTTCTATTTCCTGACAGTATTGCTCATCAGCTGGAACTTTCTTGGCTCTCTCCTGCTGGCCTGTAGTGCCTTTGCGGAGATTGCACATTCACATTGGCACAAATTTGAATCACTCCTTGCGGGCATTTCTCACTTGAGCGTAGACTGGACACCATCATTTGGCAGGTCTGGTCCCAAATCCAGACGCAGGGTCGTGAGAGGCTGCTCTATTTTCTGGAGCCTGCTTTTGCTTTACATGATGCGACCCTGCAAGGGCGAGGGTTACGGTCCTTCCATGGGGGCCGTTGCAGCCTCTTCACAGTTTTGCTTTCAGACTATCGATGGGGCAAAGCTACATGGACTGCAGCCAACATTGAGCTGCGGCTCGCCAAGTGGGCTGGAAACGAACAGGAGAACCAACAAAGTAGTGAAACGGAGTTTGAACCGGGCGTATGCCAGAGCCCTTGACCAAGGTTTTGCTTGGTATCGTGGCCACAGCTACACAGCCCAGGAGCTATCTTCCATGGGATGCACTGCACCTACAGAGAGACCTGAGCCTCTGCCATCCTGGCAAGATCTTTCCATGTGTAACCAGCATCACTCACCCAAACGCAGACTGGTCACCTGGCAATGGAACTGTGGTGGACTCACCAATGCCAAGCTGGATGAGCTCAAGGCTTGGCTTGGAGCCAACAAAGTTGACATAGCGGTGGTCCTTGAGACGCGATGGCGCTTTGATGGTGAGTGGAGTGACCCTGATTGGAACTTGCTACACTCAGGCGAGGGTGCACACCTTGGAAAGGGGATTCTTACTCTTATTTCTAAGCGGCTATGCACTTCCACCAACATCAAATGGCAGATCCATGACTCAGGTAGGCTTGTGCACGTGCGTCTTCATACAAGTACTAGACCAGTTGACATCCTGGCCTGCTACCAACACACATATCAAAAGAATCCAAAATGCATGAAAGCACGCAACACATGGTGGTCCCTCCTTGATCAAGTATTACATAGTCTCCCCCATAGAAATAACCTCATTCTATTAGGAGACCTAAACTGTAATCTTGCCGAGCGCACCCCCTCGGTAGGCAGTTCAACCTTTTTGTGGAAAGGATGCCAAATCCGAGGCACTGTGCATGACGACCAATCCACACTGCTGCATATCCTGAGAATCCATGATTTGATAGCCTTGAATGCGAGCTCCTCGGCACTAGGTCCGACCTATGTGCACTACAACCAAGCTAGCAGACTGGATTACATTTGCGTTCGCAGAATGTTTGCAGATGGGGAGGCCAGACGGACTGTCTACCTTTGGCAGTCTCCCTTCATTGATCAGACAAACACCGGCCATGCACCCATTTTGTGCACCATTGCGAAACATTGGATTCCACCCTATGCCATGTCCAGATTTCAGAAAGTCACTATGCAGCAACGCCGCAATAGCCGACAAGCCTTTCTGAACCAAGATGCAACTTGGCGATCCTTTGCCACTGAGACGCAGGCTGTCCTTAGCAACCATTTGACTAGGACTGACCCCGCCAACAGTATCATTGAACAGATGCATCAGGATGTCATGCGGATGTTTTTCACCAGTTTTCCTGCTGGCAACAACGTGTCCAGCATTCAGCCGTGGCAGACTGGTTTACCCACCATGCTCAACAAGTGGGAGCATCGCAGACGCTTCCTCAAAGCTGCAGTGTGCACTGTACAGAACATCATCACTACATGGCACCATGTTGCACGTTTCATGCATTTGAAGAGACAGCACCGCAAAATGGCCACTGAGATCAGAGAGACCCATTTTCAAGATGTAGTGAGCTCAGCAGCTTCTGCGGCAGACCGTCATGACACGCATAAACTCTTTCATATTATAAATGCCCATGCACCCAAATCTCAAAAACGGCAGGTCCAGCTCCGAAACACTGCTGGGGTCTTGGCCACACCGATTGAGTGCATGTCCATTTTGAATAAGTTTGTGCATGACACATGGAATGGCCCACGCAGAATGAGAATCACGTTCACACAACCTCCAGGTGTCCCGTTCACGGTCCAGCAACTGGTGACTGCACTGGCAGCCATACCGGTGACTAAAGCAGTCGCCAAGCCGTTTGCGCCTGGCGTGGTGTGGAAACAACAGGCTGATCACATGGGACCATTACTGCATGCACTCCTTTGTCAATGGTGGTCTACATGTCCCCCCATAATACCAGATGCTTGGCGTAATGGATGGTTAGTCCTTATCCCAAAACCCCTTAAGATTCCATCATGCCCGCAACATTTGCGCCCTTTGGCGCTGCAGGAACCTGTTGGTAAGGCTGTCATGGGTTTGCTCATTCGATTGGCGCTCAAACAAGCCATGCCATGCATCACGCCATGGCCCGTTTGGGCCTATTTGGAGCACCGCTCCACATCAGATGCAATTCACAGGGTTGCCTTGCATTGCCAATCTGTCCGACGTTTGATTGGAGACCAGCGTTCGACTCCTCATCAGAGGGCCAGGGGCATCACCCGTTTTTCTGTCTATGGGGGGCTTCAGGTATGCATCGATTTACAACGGGCATTTGATTGTGTGAATCGGGAAAAATTGTTCTGCAAACTCCATCACTTGAGTATAGATGCTAACATCATCCAGCTACTCACTGAATGGCATATGGATACCCAATACATTGTTCAACATGATACTGCAGATTCTCCAATCTTCATCGGCCGCGGCGTGAGACAGGGATGCAAGGCGGCACCGGGATTGTGGACCTTCTTTCTGATATTATGGCTTCATGAATTGGTAGCATCCATTCCATTCACTTGGGTACAGAATCACCTTAACATCTATGCAGACGATTTCCATGTAGGTTCAACCTTTACAAGCTGGGCAGATTTTGAATTCCTTAGGCAAACCATTGGCATTCTTTTTCATACCCTTGCTTCACTTGACCTGCAGATGAATCCACAAAAGTCGGTTGCCATTCTCAAAATCAAGGGGCAACACAGCCGGAAACTGCTGCAGCACTGCGTTCGACGCGATCACACGGGCCAGAGCTTGAAAATTGACATGCCTCATGCTGACCCGGTGTATATTCCAATCCATCGCCAGACCAAATATCTCGGGGTTGTGATCTCTTATGACAGCTTTGAACATGACACCTTGCGCCACCGTATTTCATTGATGCATGTTGGCTTCCAACGCCTCAAGCGGTGGCTCACTGGCAGACATAGTTTGAATATCAAGAGACGTTTTCAACTATGGCAAACCTGCGTTTACCCAATTTTGAGCTATGGCATTTTTGCCACAGGTATTTCTCAATCTGGCATCCGCCTTGCCATTATGCACATGACCAAAATGCTCAGACTGATCCTGCATGACCATCCCTATATTACACATAGGACACATAGGCAAGTTTTTCAGCACCATTCCGTTCCATCCCCCATCGCGCTTTTGCATGGAACCGTGACTGGCCTGATTGAGTCTGTCACTCAACGCAGATCTCAGCTTGCCACACATGACCTTGTGTTGACACTGCATTGGCATCATTTGACTGACATCCAGCAGCAACTTGCCACATTGCAGGCCAGTGCATCCGTAGAGCCTGTGCATTCGATTTGGACTCTCTCCCACGAGGCCACCAGCAACCCACCGTATCAGTGTGCAATATGTCCTTTCAGTACCATTGATGTTCATCATTTTCGCAGGCATTGCACCATCATTCATGGTTTGACCCTGTTTCGTACCAGACAAGTTCATGCTTCTGATTTTTTTGTTGATGGATTGCCTGAATGCAAACTCTGTGGAAAGTGTTTTACAACATGGAGATCTTTTCAGAATCACATTGAGCGTGGTTGTCAGGCGGTCATCAGTGGCCCGGCCCTGTGTGTACCCCAAGCTGGACAGCATTTGAGTGACACCTTGCCATCGGTTGCCAACATGAGCTCCCCAGATGCTGCTGTCAGAGGAAACAGAATGATTCAGGCCACAGACCTTGAGAATCTCCATACTCTTGAGTTTGGCACACGCCTGCTTCAACTGATACAAGATCGCAGTTGGGAAGCGCTTGAAGCCGAAAGAGATGCTTGCCAGTACCTTAGCTCCAGATGCATTGTCTGTGCCCAGCATTTCACCAGGATACAGGAAATGCGACAACACTACAGACAACACCACCCGGACCTATGGGAGCACGTGCCACTGAAGGCACAACAGCTCACCAACATTCACAGCCAAGAAGCTCCTTGCGGAGTATGCGGGGCCCTTTTCAAGACCCACACCTGCCCGGTGTGGTCACAGGTGGCAATGCTACTTGTCAATGGGGCCTGTAGTGATCCTACCTTGGACTCTGCCCTGCGCTGCCGTTGCGAGATCTGTGGCGACTGTTTTGCAACTGCTGCTGACCTCACCCAGCACCTGCAGACTCAACATGGCCTTCATGGCCTGACGTTCAACGTCAGCAGGGATGCCCTGGACCACAGTCCAGCCTGCGCACACTGTGGGCAAATCTTCGATACGATGAGTGGCCTCAAAACGCACATAGTGCAGGGCAAATGCAATTACTTCAATCCCATGGCCAGTGCAGAGACCAAACCGATTGAAGATTTGTGGAGGGCGGCCTGCCTACAGGGAACACTGTTTGAGATGCTGCGCAGTGCTCACAACCGCATGCGCCTGACGCTGCACTGTCAACTTTGTTCGAAGGTGCATTTGAGATCTGCAGACCTTTGTCTCCATCTCCAAAGTGCTCACTCCATGTTGTGGCGCCGGGCTCAGAAATTGACGTTGTTGCTGGTGGATGCTTTTTACAGTCGCAATGAATGCTGCTGTAATCCCTCCATTGGTATCAAACGGGGTAATCATGTTTGTGCACCGTTGCGTCAGCTTGCCATGATTTTCCATCAACTGGATCAACAGCCTTTTGCTCCCACTGCCATCACAGAAGAACTCTTGCAAGCCATTCTCTCTAGGAAGCTGGCAGGGGCTCAGAAGTTTTTGCTTGAACAACTCCTGACCAATCGCCAATTTGGAGCACTGTGGCAAGAGGAGGGTGTACTGCAGATTTTACGATCGAGGTGCATTTTTTGTGGAGCTCAAGCCATTCCTTCAGATCTGATTCTACACTTGCGTGAGGACCATCCATGCAATCATGACATGTACTTGTTTTACATGGAACAGCTGCAGGGTGTCGTTATGCACACCACGCCAGATGTGTACCAATGCAAACTGTGTGAACAGATTTTCAACTTGCCACGCTCTGAACCAGCAAATGACTCTGATGCTGCTCGCCTTCACCTGGCTCAGTCCCATCTGAAGGGGCATTGTCCGGTCTTGACCCAGCTTGCGCTCCTGTTCTCCTTCTTGCTCAATGGAGGACGATTCCAGCGTCCTGGTGACACAGGAGCAGAGCGCTGCCCAACAAGTGCTGGAGGCCTTCACCAATTTGGCCCCACTCTTCCGAGACAGTTCCTTGAAGTTGGAACCGAATCCCAAGCAGCCCAAGCAGCGGCGAAGAGACCCTCCAAACAGGCCAAAAGAGTCATCAGACAAGCAGGACAACCAGGGGGAACACCCACCTGTGCTACAAGTGTTGCGGGCACTGACCAATCTGGTCATCAAACACGACCAAGAATTACAGAGCCTGCGCCGAATGGATCAATTCATTCTTTTTTTGAGCGGCGAACCCAAGGGTGCCCTTCACCTGATGCTCCAGGAAACCAAGGGTTGGAAGGAAACGTTGGAGAAGAAGCCACCCGTGCAACAGCCGCTGCGGCAACACCTGATCCTGGTACTGCTGAAGACACTCCGCAGCAGAGCGGAACAATTGGTGAAGGCCACGGAGAAGGACGAGCTGTATCAGACCTCTGTGCAGAAGGGCCTGATGCTGCAGGATCGCAGCTTCCCGTTTCACAGATGGGATCCAACAACGCAGAAACTGGTCTTGGATCGCAAGACACCCATCAGTGCAACGAAGATGGAACAACATTTGGACGAACTCCTGGAGGAGCTGCTAGATCCACAGCTGGTGATCCGCTTTCACGCGCTGAAAGCACCGAACCCAGAGCTGGCCTCCATCCCTTGGAGACTTCAGCTGAATCTGCGCAGCGATCGACCATACGAATTGTTCCATCACCTCAGCCACAATGGGATATGGATGCTCATCGGTGCAACGATGAAACCACATACACAAGGACAATCAGGGCAGGCCACTGCTCTCCAGAGCATGCTGATGGGCCAGAAGGGCCAGGGCAAAGGGAAGAGCCAGAAACAGACTCAGAAGCCTCTGCCGAAAGCATGACACTGATGAGGACAGTGCTTCTTCAGGCCATTCGTGACTTGACCCTGCTCAACGACAGCTCGTGGTGCTATGCCAACAGCATCACATATTGTGTTTTGTGGACCTGGCTCAGTGCCAATCTTGTCCATGATGTTTGGGGTAGAAGGTTTACTGCAATGCTGCGCTTTTTTTGCAATCGCAGCACCAATCGTGTGGCTTTGACATCTGCCACGTGGTTTCAGCGTATCTTTCAACTGTGGGGACCAGCGCCAGGGCAGAATGATTGCGCTGAATTTGCACAGGCCGTTTTGGCTTGGCTCCGAACTCCTGTGTATGACATGCGCTGGGAAAGAAGAGTTCTCATCGAGAATCAGATCCAGATTTTTGACTTCAGCAGTGAACATGCTCCCATCACGTTAGCATTCACACCTAGCATGGTACAACATGGCATTTGTGACATCTCCATCATGATGCAAAACTGGTGCCAGGAGCACTCCATGCAGGCGGCCTTGACCCAGGCTCCGGTTGGACTCTGCATTCATATTGACAGAATGTTTCAGGATGACACTGGAAACATTACAAAGAGCACATGCATGGTGCCCATGGATGTTGTGCGTGTCCCAGTGTTCTCACATGGTGATCTGCGCATGATGCTGACTGACTACACCCCAGTTGCTGGCACAACTCATTTTGGAGATGATATGGCAGGGCATTGTCAGGCGCTCTTGCGCACTCAGCCTGGTGTGATGCAAAACAACCAACCATTTTCATGGCTGATCACAGAAGATGCCACACTTCCCGCACCAGTGTGGGACATTCCGAGTGCATTCAGCTGCAACTTGAAGGTGCTCTGGCTGATTCGCAATGACTGCCTGCATTTGCCTCTGATTGTGCCGAGGGCTGATTTTCAAACGACAGCTGTGCCGACTTCCACAGCTGAGACAGATGAGCTTCTGGCCTTACTGCAGACGCAACCAGGTGCGGCAGGATGATCGAATGCTTACTCCGGAGGTTCTTATTTTTTTCCCATTTCACCATTTTGATTTCCCAAGGACTCCTTGGGTTTTTCTCCAACGTTTCAATGGCCTGTAAGTTTCCCAATGGCGGAACCGACGATGAACCTTCGTCGATGGCTGGCACGGACCTATGGCAGACATAAAATAGGTGTGTAAGCAAAAAAAAAACACACACACACACACAAGCCCTTTACACCCACGAGTGGTGTGTGCAAGGCCGAGGAGGCCTAGGATTCAGCCGCTGCCGTTTTTGCCCCCCGCTCGTTCCTTTGATTGTGCCATACATAGACTTCACTGGACGGGGTGGGCTCCCGAAATCAACACTGGCCTTGCAACGGCGCTTGACTTCTAAACAGCCTCCATCCGCTGGTATTTTTATACAACAATCTCCCTGATTTCTTGGGTAGGATCAACTGACAACACTGGGCCCTGCTGGACAACGATTCCCTTGGCCACGGTACAAGTTTGGATCCAATTCTTTTGACCTCTTGTTTCAGGTGATATAACCATTTCCAGCACGGGATGCCCTACTTGCTGCTTTGGATCATCATTTTGATTGGCTCCCAGCCTTGCAAGTTTGCCTTGACAGGGTGTAACCCGGTCCCAATTCCGGGGACAACCATCGAACGCTCCAGCACTACGATGCCACCTCCAGCTGATGGTCTTCAGACACGGTTGACAGACTATGGAGGTTTTACACTACGTGGTTGTCAGGGTGAGGGTTGCCGTGGGTCCACAACCACGGCTGAAGCAGACCATTGGCAGCAAATCCTTCGCGATTTACCTGCAAACAGTGGATACCCGCCACCAATGAGTGGAAACACTCGAATGTTGCCATCACCAGTCACCAGTGTTCAGAAGCGTAGCTACAAAAGAGCTTGCAGGCGTGCAATTCGTACAGGATATGCCCACTACCATGGGATGCGGTTACAGGTGTCTGACTTTCCCAAACGCCTGGTTCACAACCTCCTTGAGGAGGAGATAGTGCAAGGACGACCACACCATCATGCGCTACCGGGACCAGGCCATTCCCCCAGGATCCGGATCCTTTGCTGGAATGCCGGCGGCATGTCCCAGGCCACATTCCATGAAGTACGGCACTGACTGAGACGAAATCCCATGGATGTGGTGATCTTGGTGGAGACAAAGTGGAGTTTTTCTTCCACCTGGGAAGATGCGGAGTGGTCCTACCTGCACACGGCCACTGATCAGCCTCGCAGTGGAGGGGTCCTCATAATGATTGCCCGCTCCTTTGCTCACCCGGAACAACTGGGCTTCGATCATATCCTGCCAGGCCGGGTCATGCACGTTCGGGTACATGGGGATCATAGATCACTTGATATCCTGGCGGTTTATCAGTATGTAAATTACAGGTCTCCTGCATCGGTGAAACAAAGGGAGATTTTTTGGACAACGCTGGACGATTGCATCCGCCACCTTCCTAATCGAAACAATTTCATTTGTGCAGGAGATTTCAACTGTGATCTGAAATCCCAACATCCCTGGGTCGGCTCCACGACCTTCCAATGGAAGAACATGCATGTTGCAGGGTCTCAACACCAAGACCAACAGCGCTTTCAAGCCCTTTTGCGTCACCATGGACTGACTGCCTTGAATACCTGGGGCTCCTCAGGAGCCACCTTCCAACATGGCAAGTTTGCATCTCGTATCGATCACATTCTTACACGCCTTGTTTCATGTGACGGCCGTGCCAAACAGATCACATACCTTGATCAGGCTGATTTTGTCCCAGAGAATCAATCGCATCATGTCCCATTACACTGCACGATTCGCAAGCAACACATGCCATATCAACAACACAGCAAACCTACATGATGTAGCTATGCACAAAGGAATCAATGCCGCATTGCCAGCCTGGAGGAGACCGAAGCATGGAGTCAACTGCGACAACATGTCATTTCGACGGTGACCCCTCTTTTGTCCGAGGCATCACCAGAGGAGTTCATTGCCAGAATTCATGATGAAGTTTCAACAGCATTTCATTCTCTTTTTCCGCACAGCACTCCCAAATTCCCATGTATAGATCTTTCAGTTTTTCACCATCAGACAGAGGATAAATGGTTTCACCGGCGTAAACTCCGGGACCTGAAGAAGCACACAGGACCCTTGTTACAACGCATGGTGCAGGCATGGTACCACCGAAGTCGATGTGCAGTGCTTCAACGACATCAACAAAAGCTTGCACGCCAGGCTCACCGAGACCGTTTTCACCAGTTGTGCCAGGAAGTGGACTTGGCAGCGCAACGACATGATACTCATAGCATGTTTGCAATCATCAACAAGTTTGCCCCCAAAAAGCCCCAAGCACGAGCACGTCTCAAGGGCCCTGATGGAAAAATGGCCGATCAATATCTTGCCCATTCCTTAACGGTAGCATTCGTGCAAGAAATGTGGGCAGGTCCAGATCGATTGCCGACATATTCTGACAGGGCTCCAGGGATTCCTTTTACCTTGGATGCATTGACTCGTGCCATTGCCGGCCTGAATCCACACAAATCAGTTGCACAGCCGTTTTTGCCAGCCATCATCTGGAAAAGTGCACCTATCCAAGTTGCGACAGCATTGTATCGGCAGTTACAAGTTTGGTGGAGTTGCAGCCCCCCAATCATCCCGCAATCATGGAAAGATTCCTGGATATATTTTATCCCCAAACCGGGTAAGCCCAATACACACCCATCCCAGATGAGACCCATTTCACTCATGGAACCATTAGGGAAACTAGTGTTGGGCTTAATTGCCAATCGAATCAAAATCTTCTTGGGCCCCATACTGATTTGTTCCCCACACTTTGGATTCATGCCGCATCGTGCCACCTTGGACGCAATTCAAAGAGTTGCCAACCACAGCCGTGCCATCAGGGCACTAGTGGGCTCCCAGAGCAGATCCGTTGTCCAACAGATGACACAGGTCCCAAAACTGGTCATCTGTGGCGGGTTGTCCTTGTTTTTGGACATGTCTAGGGCTTTCGATTGTGCCAATCGTCAGGTGTTGTTTGACCACCTCCATGACCTGGGAACCCCATCTGATCTTCTCCAATTGGTTGCCAGTTGGCATGAACATACTCATTACATTGTCCAGTTCCACAACACCAGTTCCGTTGTTAAGGTAGGAAAGGGATTGAGACAAGGATGTAAAATTGCCCCTCAGCTGTGGATTGTCTATATGGACAAGTTTCTGCGTCTTTTGGAACCCCTCACTGGATCACAGTGGATCACCAACTGCATCACAATTTATGCGGACGATGTGCACGTAGGTTGCCAGTTTTCTTCAGGTCATGAATTCAATGTCCATCTTCGCAATTTGGGATTCGTTTTGGATACATTGCAACACCTGGAACTACAACTCTCCTATCAAAAGTCCTTTGTAATATTGAAATATGCAGGCACAAATCCACGTCCTGTCCTGAAAGGGCGCATCCGACGGCAGGGGCCTGATCATTTCCTGCTTGTACAGAGACAGCATGGCCAGACATCCGCACTGCCTCTGCGCAAGAAAGGCAGCTACCTTGGCGCAGTCATCAGCTACTCAGCCTTTGAACTTCAGTCCTGGCAGCATCGGAAACGCACAGCATGGCTTGCATTCAACCGTCTCTGCAAATGGCTCAGACATCGCCACATTGCAGTTCGACAAAGGTTGTATCTGTGGAAACAATGTGTGTTTACAGTACTGACATACAGTTTGATGGCGACCAATGTCACAGTCAGCATACTGCATGATTTCCAGACTGTTGTCTTCCGTATGATCAGGACCATTTTAGGGGACCACCCCTACAGAACACACCGTTCACATCAGCAGGTATTTCATCAGTTTCAATTGGACCATCCACTTGACATGCTGACCGCCCTTGCCACGGCCCTGCAACAGCGACTTCACAGGCGTGCCATGGACCTTCCACCCAGTGATTTTTTGCACCATATAGATTGGACATCCCTCAACGGCACACTGCAGCTGATTGCATGCATCCGAGCATCCGTTGTAGAGGTACCCATCAGCCTGGACCCATCCGACACGGTGCTGACACAGGTAACCCTGACCTGTGATTACTGCGATTTCACAACCACATCCGTTCCCAATTTTAGACGGCATTGCACCACCCACCATGGCGTCAGGTTTTTCCGTACTGCCAGCACCCAGCCGGCGACAGTGGCACTGCAAGGTGCCCCACAATGCAGCCGATGTTTTCAGGTTTTTACCACATGGAATAATTTCTTTGTGCGTGTACAACGGAACTGTTGCCAGGTGCCCTTGGAGTCATCAGCCCGGCTCACTGCAACCAGGAATATGGATTCCACGGCAGGATCATCGACTCCCCCGACAGCTCTGCCGGCGGCTGCCATGATGAATTTTCATGTCATGACCCAGATATTCTGGCCAGAGCTTCAGAACACGATTCTGCATGCTGACTGGACACAGATGCCGCGCAATGCAGCTATGTTGGAATATTTGACACACCACTGCACAATCTGTGGGTTGTGGTGCAATCGTTTCCAAGAACTTCATGGACATTTTCGACAACATCATGCTGCTCAGGTGTTAGGCAGTGTCGCCAAGGGAGCCCAAATTTCCCAGATACAACAGGTCACTTCTCCATGCAGCCTGTGCCAACGCACATATAGTCGGATCCATAGCTGTCCCGTTACCCTCCAATTGGGTATGCTGATGATTCAGTTGAGACCGGCAGCCGACAGACTGGCCGCGGCATGCACATGTGATATCTGTGCCCTGACGTTTCAGGATCTAGGTGCCCTGTATGGTCACTTGACCAATCAACATGGCCTGACCATCAATGATTGGTGCCCATCCAGGGATTCTCATCAGGGGGGAGATGGTTGCCGCCATTGTGGCGCCATTTTCGATAGCCGCTCAGGCCCGAGGCGTCACATCACTGAAGGTCGATGTGAATCCTTCAACCCGGCTGCAACTCCGCACCCAATTTACACTACCGATCGCTGGGGACCATGGCTACAGACAGGAAATTTTGATTCGAGTCATTTCACTGCCAGCATGCGCCTTCAGCTGACCACCATCTGTCAATTTTGTGGCCTGCAGTACTCTCGCACAGGCGATTTGGTGGCCCATCTCCTTCAATCGCATGGGGACCTATGGACAAGCTCCCAACCCTGGCTGAGGTTTCTTCTCCAAGCGGTCATGGCGAGACGTGGATGCCTGTGCAATCCCCAATGCAACGAGCTGGGAGTTACTCACGTTTGCACCTTGCTTCGACAGATTGCCATGATGATCCACAGCCAAGACACACAGATCTTTGTTCCTACTCAGTTCTACCGTCCGGACCTGGAAGTGACTCTGACGTTCCTGCAAGATGATGCCCTGCAACAGAAACTGCTCTGCACTCTGATTGAACGTGACTTTGAACAGCTCTGGCAGGATGAGACGATCTTACAAGGACTTCGAACCCGATGCCTGATCTGTGGTGGCCATTATTCCACGGCGATCCTTCTGCATCATTTGTTGGTCCAACATCCACAGGCATGTGCGTGGGCAGCTCAGTTCATTTTTCAATTGCCGCATCTTTTACAGGCTCTGCAGACACATGATCATCGTTGCAGTTGTTGCCACCTGATTTTCAACACACCTGCTGAACATGATGCTGAAATGACCCCTGACCGCTGCCAACTGCAGTTCCAACATTTTGCTGTCAATTGCCCGGTAGTGCTGCAAATTGCAGTGCTCTTGCATCCGCTGCATGGACGCACTGATGGACCCCAACGATCAAGCCTTGATGGACGGGCTTCAAGCTCTGGGACCACTCCTTCTGGGGGCACGAAAACACTTGGATGGAAACGACGATCATCAGCCCAAGCGGCACAAAGCCGCCTCGCCCGCCGACGCATCAGCAGACCCAGCCCAGACGGAGGCGATGGCCACCATGTTGCGTCTGATGGCGCAGCTGATCCTGAGCCACGAACGCTCCATCCAGCTGCAACTCCGCCAGGATTGCTTCGTTTTGTTCGCCCAAGACCGTCCGGAGGGAATCATCCCGCACCTGAAGGCGTTAGCCCAGAGCTGGCGCGACCAGGCCCCGAAGCATCAGGACGATCAGAAGTGGCCCACACTGAGGACTCACTTGGTGGCCGGAGTGGTGGCCGAACTTCATCGTCGAGTTCAACAACTGGCGGCTTCGAAGAAGGGCGAACCGCTGTGGGACCTAGCAGTGGAGAAAGGAACGCTTCTCCCGGACGGGAGCTGGGGTTTTCAACGATGGTGTCACGACACGAAGCAGTTGAAACGGGCCTCACGACCCGCACTCCCCATGCCACAGATGCTGAGGAACCTTCAGTCGTTGGAGGACCTGCTTCAGTCGAACAGCCATGTCCAGAAGTTCCACAGCCTGAAGACGACACAGACCACGGTTCCATGGCTCCTCCAACTGTCGCACCGCGACTCCGACGCTTGGTATCTCCTACAGGACCTCTGCCAGAACACAGTGTGGTCCCTATTAGGGATGTCGGTCAAACAGCACAACATGGCCCTGTCGAAACCGGCTCAGATGCTTCAGGACACCTTGAACCATCTCCCCACCAAGCAGACGAAAGGCCGCAGGAAGGGGAAGGGCTCACAGAAGGCTCCCCAACGGAGCTGAACTTTCAGGGACGGCAACGCCTGAGAAATCTTCTCTTAGAGCTCCAGCTGGACAACTCAGGCACTACTTGCTATGCCAACAGCGCATTCCTAGCATACATGTGGGCTTGTTTGTCAAGGCGACAATTTCAGTACCTTGACTGGGGCGCCCGTTCAGCCACCCTGGAGACCATTCTTACTGAAAATGATGGAACACCATTTCCCCTTGATGCTCAAGAATGGTTTGGACCCCTATTGCAGGGCTGGAATGATCAACAGGGTCAGGCTGACTGTGCAGAGTTTGGACATAGGCTAGCTGCCTGGCTTGCCCTTGATGCCTTGTCCAACAGTTGGGAAAGACGAGTCATCACTCCTGATGCCACCATGGTGCATGACCAAGGGGACAACACCATGCCATTGACATTGCAATTGGACCCTGCTTTAATTGATGATGGAGAGATCTCACTGACAGCTCTTCTCAAGTCTTGGAGCGCCGAGCTGGGTATGCGGGCTGGCATCACCAACCCCCAGGACATTCTGGTCATTCATGTTGAACGCATGCTTCTGACTCCATCAGGTCAGTTGTACAAGCATGATGCCAATATCACTTTTGCCTGGGAGGTTCAAGTCCCAACATTGACACCTGACACCGCAATTCATCATGTTTCCTATACGATCGTGGCAGTCACGGCACACCTGGGCAGTGACAAAAGTGGACACTACCAGACAATGTTGCGCACCTATCCCGAGGTGTCTGACATCACTGCCCCATCAATGTGGATGTTTTGCGATGATTGTCGTTTGCCTGAAAGATGTTGGGTGTTCCCACCAGCGTTCTCACGGGGCATCACCGGCATATGGCTTTGCCGCACTGACCGCTTGGAGATGCACCTCATGGAACAACCTCGGCCATCACCGGACACTGACCTGCTGTCAGTTCTCAGTGGTCAGACGCGCCTGGCAGGTGACTGATTCACCACATGTTTCATGTGTATATTGCAGCTGATGCGCTCTTGGATTGCAGCAGATGGTATGTGACACCCCTGCACCCTGCTACCCGGCAGGCTTATCCCCGCTTTCACGCCCTCCCAGCCTGGGCGTGTACCCCTGCATCAAAAAAAAAAAAATGGGGGGCCAAGAGGCGGAAAGCCCACTCAACAAGAAGCCAAAAAAAAAAAAATAGGTCAGCTGTTTCACCATGAGTCCAACGTGGCAAACTCCCTGCGTGGGTAGCCCAGAGACTCTTGAACACAGATTCATGAGACTGGGGCAATCCCTTGCAAACTCCCGGCATTTTGCCAAGACCTAGTCGGTGCACTTCAACTGAAATTGCCATTTTGGCATGCCAACCTGTTTCACACGGCATTTTGCCGCTGCTTAGCAAGCGAATCCATTCCGCAATTTTGGCGCACCCAAGATGTATGATCCTACATGGATCCACCAAGACATAGCCGGCGATAACCCCTTGCCTACACAGATGTACGCATTTTTCAATTGATTTTCCTGATCAGTGTTTGTCCTGTCTGATGTCGTGTCTCACGCCTATGCCGTCACCCCTGCACCCTGCCGCCCGGCAGGCTTATCCCCTCTTTCATGCCCTCCCATCCAGGGAGTGTACCCCCAGGAAAAAAAAAGGGGGGGCCAAGAGGCGGAAAGCCCACTCAACACGAAGCCAAAAAAAAAAATCACCAGCCGCATAGTTCAGGTTTCACAGTTTTTTTGAGGGTGAGATTTTAGTAGCCCTATTGCATGTTTTTTTACTGGCAATGACCCATGCTTGACAACAAATCAAACTTTTCTCCAAATTGGCAGGCAAACCTAGCCCGGGTTTCTTTACCCGCGCCATCACGTAGCTGACGACACAGGTTTCCAGAATTTTTGCCATCATTCTGGATTCGCTGGTGATGGACATAGCTTCTCAAAAGTGAGAACCATCCGACCAAGGTTGTTGGATGAAGAGGCGACCGCCGTTTCGAACCCGAAAAGGAGCGAGGGAAAAAAAAAACACACACACACACACACCTCCACCCACGCACGCACGCACACGCATGCACGCACGCACGCACACACACACACACATACACACACACACAAACACGCACGCACACGCACACGAACACACACGCACAGACACACAGACACACATACACACACACACGCACGCACGCATGCACGCACGCACGCACACACACACACATACACACACACAAACACAAACACACACACGCACACGCACACATGCACATCCACGCGCCCCCACACGGATGACATTGCCTTCGTCTCCATTTCCATCCCTGACAGGTATCTCGCAGCCTTCCATGCTTGGACGCTGCTGGCGTCTGCCTTGCAGTCTTTGTCGAGCGCCTCGCCTGCACTTTGCTCTGCCTACATGTCACTCCTTGTTTTCTACTTTGCTCAAAGCAGTCATTTTCCTCCGTTTCGCAACCCAGGCGTTCTTTTTCTCGTGCTCGCTCCGTGGCCTCCTAAGCGCTTTGTCTTACTTTATCGTCAAAGCCGTCACGTCCTCCAGCTTCCGCCTGCGTGCTGCGCGGCTGCCGCTGCCCGATACGAATCCCTGCAAAGCACCCGGAATATGTCGAACAGTTGTGGAGTCCCACGCAATGGAACTCGATTTGCAATGCTTTCGAAGCCGATTTTCAATATGAATCGCACGTAGAAAGTGAAGCCGTCTTCCGTATTCAATCTCACCACCGTGGCAAGCTTCTTACTGCCTCCTTGCCGGCCGGGTTTTGCTTCACTGCAACCCTCCTCTTGGAAACCTTCCTTGCCCGCAATCCTGACGTGTCCCTGGATGCTGCAAAAACCCACCTTCTGGATGCTCCACTCTTTGGCGATCTACGCTACCGCCGGAAATTGTATACACTTTCACGCCAGTTTGCTGTGCCGGACGTCTCCCCGCTCTTGTCGACTCTCGCTGAGTCTCCCCAGCTCCACACCAATTTGGTGCCTCCGGCCTTCTTTCAAGTCCTCTGGGCAGCTCTTCAGACACAATGCCTCGCTACTGCTGAAACACTTTCTTTTCTGTTGCGCTTCCAACGTCATCGTGCATGCTTTTGATGCCGCGCTCCAGCTTTTCCGCTGCGTGGGATCTGTCGTCGTGCGCCGCGCTGCACACTTTCTCGCCCCTCCAGAGCACCTCAGCGTCCGCGCCTGCCGCTCTTGCGCCTCGTGTTTTCCTAGCTGATGCTGCACCGCCGTTGGCTCCGCCTGCTCCACCTGAGCCTTCTCACCCATGGCTTTGTCGCTTTTTTGCGCCGCTTCGATGCGCACCTTGCTGACGCACATTCTTGTTCAGCTACCGCGTATCCATCGCTGTTCTCCACGGCTTTGGCACATGCCTTCTCCAGTCCTTCTGATCCGCGCGTGCTGCGCCATATCCTTGGGCACTATCGCAATGCGGCTCGCGCTGTTTGGTCTTCGTTCCCCTTGCTCTGTAATTGTTGTGCAGCCTTGCCCTTGGACAACATTGCACGGTCTTCGATTTGCGCTCCAGCTCCTTCGATCTACCGCGCTTGCACGACCTCCTGTCGGCACGTCTGTTTCTAGCACGCTATCATGCACGATTGCCTGACAATCTGCCGACTTCTTTTGTTGGTCTTAGCATGTCCGATCTTGCTTCTCACTCTGTCCCCGCTCCAGCCGTCGCGTCTGGCACCCGTCCCCCGCATGATCGCTGGCTCTTGTATCTTCCTTCTGAGCCCTTGCGGGATGCCTGGTCCACTGCTGCTTCCGACCCTTTTCTTCCATTGCAACTTGCTTTGTGTTCCTCTTGCGCCCTCGCACTGCAGACTCCTCGTGTCTCGCTCCCAAGCCGTGCGTTGGCCAATGACAATGTTCATGTTCCGCTTCCGCTGCCCTTGTGCGATCTGACTCCAGCGGAATTACTATTCATTGCCCGCGGCCACACTCACTGTCGCCTCATCACTTTACCCACCCGTGGGTCGCCTGAAACTCACCAGCGTGCCCTCCGCGGCAATGTTATTAGCTTTCCACAAAACAGCGTCTCGCTCTTGTCAGCTTTACCTGCTTCCGTCGATTCTGTTTCGGATTTGCTGACGGTTTTCTTTCCGCCTGAGCAGAACCTGCAGCCTAACCGGTGCCCCGAATTTGTTGTCCGTCGCTCACGTGTGCGTGATGCAATCCTGTGGCTGCAAACCCACAATCCTTATTATGCAGACGTCACCTTGGATACTGAGGCCCTTGCTTCCTTACCAGACCATGGCATCCCTCATTCCCTGCTCCACGCTGCGCGCGTGCTGCCCGAGGCTACAGTGTCCGTCGACCCTGGCCCTGCCGATGCCGTTCCGGACGATCTTCTTACACCTTCTCTACCAACTGCTTTGCATGCAGCCGTGCTCGATGTTGAGGGCGAAGCAACCCATCCCATTGCCCCCTGGCAGCAGGCTCTAGTTGCAACAGATGCAGCTACCGAGAGTCTCACGGTCTCCGATCCAGACCCAGTTTTAGCTGCATCACGTGTCACGTCTGCCCTCGATGCGGCCCGCGCCTTGGGCGACTTGTTGGCCCCTGTCAACCAGCCAGCACCAGACAGCCAATCGGCTTATGCCGTGGTCTCTCATGGTTCGTCTCCTGAGTGCCTTCAACCCTGCTTATTGGACCTTGTGTTTTCCACATCTGTTTCCATATGGTGAAAACGTTGACTCTTCCCGGCGCCCTGTTCGCTTACACGATCAGCTCTGGATCCGCTCCCTTCTCTTCCGTGCAGACCGCTCCTGCGTCCTTCGCGTGGAATGTTGACCATCTTTTTATTGCGGTTGCTTTTAACGTGATCCATCGCCGCGCCTTGATGCGTGCCGTCCATGCCAAAATTCGTTCTCCGAGCTTCCAGCAAACTGTCCATGACCTGCAAGCCCTGCGGTCAGTCGATTTCCGCCGTGTTTTCGACATCTTGGGCGAGCACGGTGGCATTCCTCAGGCTCTCCGACATCAAAGCGTCAGCAACTCCATGAAAAACCTGCTTCACATGCTTCGTATTGTCACAAGCACCGTACCATGCACGGACGCCGCTCGCACGGTCATGCGCCATGAACTTTGTGCGCTGCAGCTGTATTTCGGCTTTCCAGCCTTGTTTGTCACCTTCAATCCCTGTGACACGCGTCACCCTTTCACATGCGCCATGCATTTTTCTCATCGCGTCGCTGATACCGTCCCTTTGCCCGATCTAGATGCTGCACTCTACGATGTTTTGAAAGATGTCAATCTCCCACGCCTCGTTGCTGACGATCCCGTGGCTGCCACCAAAGCATTCCACTTGCATGTTATGCTTTTCCTTTCCCATTTACTTGGCTGCCCTCCTTCTTCGTCTCCCCCTGACCCCGATCAGGCTCGCATGCCAGAAGGAGTGTTTGGCAAGGTTATCGCTTTTTATGGCGTCACCGAGCTTCAAAACCGTGGCAGTCTCCATATCCACTTGCTCTTGCACTTGGCTGGTTTTACTTCCCCGCAGGACCTCATTGCACGCTTCACCGGCCGCTTGCCTAGTTTAGCTTCTGCTCTCACCACGTGGGCATCTTCCATGCAACATGCCTCCTTGGAAGCCATCCCTGCAGCGTTTTCCATTCCAGCCGCTGCGGATTCCCTTCGACAGTTGCAACCCTTTTCCAAGAAGCAACGTGCTGCTTTGGGTCCTGCCTATGAACCCTTCTTAACCATCGCTTCCCAGCATTGGTTTGCTGCTGATGCTTCCCGGCGCTTACCCATTGCAGCTTCTGCCTGGTTCGATCCCTTCCTTGACGCGCAAGAGTCCCGGCCCTCTTGCCTACCTTGGCCGCGTGAATATTTAGACCCTTCCTCTGCACTTCCTGCTGACTCCTGGATGCGCCTTTTGCTGTATGATGTGCGCCATACAGTCGTCCAATGCGGCCTCCATGAGTGCCGTCCCGGGACCTGCTGGAAGGGCTGGCTTGGCAAGATTCGGTACTGCCGCCTCGGCTTCTGGCATTGGGAGCCCTGTTCCTCTCAGCCTCGTGCTTGGCGACGCGTTCATGGGCATCCTCTGCAACCCACTTGCGTCATCGGCCGCGTTCCCCCCTCGCGAGGCCTTTTGCTGCCAGAGCGGCACCATCCCTTCTTTGGCAAGACTCACGCCGCAATTTTTGCTGCCACCAAATCTAATCATGATGTTGGTCTTCTGCTTCGGGCACCTCCACCCGATGCATCTTTGGATGCCGCCACGTGTTTACAGTTCATGCTTACTAATTTGCGCACGACTTCCTTTTATGTCACCAGCTACTCCAGCAAAGTGCAACCGCAGCTCACCAACCTTTGGTCCCTTCTTATGTCCGGCCAAGCCAGTCTCGATGCCGAAATCGATGCCCTGCCCTCTCCTCTCCCTGCACTGTCCCGCGCGTCACGCGTCTTGCATCGCATGATCAGTGCTTGTCAGAAACGTGTCCATAAGAGCATGCCGGAAATGCTTCACTTTCTCCTTGGCTTTCCTGAAGCTTACAAATCGCACGCTTTCCAACGCATTTTTCTCTCAGACGTCTTGCGTGCTGCTTCCCACTTGCTGTCCGAGGATCCGCCTCACCGTCTTGCCGCGGAAGATGCCAATATTTTGCTTCTGCCCCCTCCGGATGTGGACCCGCACAGTGACATTCCTTCTCACGTCCGACCGGTTGCTTTTGTCCCGCAAAGTCTCGACTATACCTGTCGCGGGCCTTCCTTGCTTTCCTGGCCTTTCTACTTTTACGTCGCCGGCGTGCGGCGGTGTCGGCGCTCGGATATCTCCTCCGAGTCTCACGTCGCTTTTTTTGACGCCGCCCATCCCCTGTCACAATCCCACGTGCAAGTCATACTCTTATGCACGACCTGGGCTATTCCAGTCCTTACTGGTACCTCTATCCCCGATCCTGTCGCTGATCCCGAACGTTTCGCTTTGCTCGCTTTAGTGTTGCTCAAACCTTGGCATGATCCTGCTTTGCAAGATTTACTGCAGCCTTTGCTCCTGGATGGCGACCCTTTTGCCTCCTGGCGTGCTGCGTTGGCAGATTTCGAGACGTCTCTGCACGAGCAAGCTTCACCATCCTTGCCGCGCGCGCATCCCTTCACGCCCGTCTATTGGTCACAACGCTGCTTAGACTTGCTCATTCATTTGCGTAATTTGGCGGGTTCTCCTCTCCTTGATCTGAATGCTGCCGCTGTCCGAGTCAATCCCGATGCTGCTGCAGGCGTTCCAAATTCGGTTGAATTACCTAGCGTCACTCTACCAGCCGACCTTCTTGCTGATGACGTAGTTGTTCCCCCAAGTGATCCTTCAGATTCCGACACTGCACCGTTCTCTGATACCCTTGCCGATCCCGTTCCTGACCTGCCTGCGGCTGCTCCCACCGATTCCTCCCAAGCTCTTCCCCCCCTTTGCTGGCAGGAAGTCCTTGATGCGTGCGTCGGCCAAGTCTTCGATCCTGACAATTCTTTCTGCACGCATTTCCGCGCTCATGCCACTTTCGCTTTCCCGACGGCTTCCCCCGCCTCTACTTCCAGTCCGCTCGTTTTCCCGCGCGGTTGGACTTCCGTGGCGCCCACTGATTTGCTCCATGCTGCTTCTGACTGGAGCTCCGTTCTGTCGCCTACTCCTTCCGCGTCAGCGCCTTCGCCCAGCACTTGTCCTTCGCCGCGTTGTGTTCCTGCGCCCAACCCTTTTGATCTCATCTGGTCTTGGCTCCAGCTCGGCCGCTGTAATCAGACCGATGGGGCCTTGAATCTGAAACAAGCTGCGATCCTTTCCTTGCATGCTGCATCCCTCCATGCTTCCATCCAACATGCCCGTTCGTTGTCTGCCACGGCCCCGTCGCCCCAGCTGTCCATCCTTCTCGGTGGCCCTGGTACCGGCAAATCTTATATCCTGAAGCTATGGCAAGAATTGTACAATACCTTCTGGCCTGCTACGACCAAGACCTGCGCATTGATGCACACAGCTGCTCGCCTCGTCTCTGGCAGAACCCTCCACAGTGCTTTGTCTCTGCCTTTTGAATCTCTGAATGCCAAAAACAAGTCCCTCGGAGACAAGAAAGAAAGCCTCCTCGATGATTGGGCACCGATCCGCACTTTACTCTTGGATGAATGCTCCACCATTTCTGCCGAAGTCTTTGGCAGCGCCGAATTTCGGTCTTGTCAAGTCAAGAATTCCAATCTGCCTTGGGGTGGCCTTAGCGTCCACCTCTTCGGCGACTTCTGCCAATTGCCCCCAGTGCTCGCCACCAGCTTGGCACATGCGTCCGAACCGCCTCCTGGCCTCAACCCCTCTGCTCGCCGTCGTTGGCTCCAGCAGCATGCTCCCGCGCAACGCGGTCGCGCTTTGTGGCTCCAGTTTCCTGATTGCATTCTTCTTGATTACTCGCATCGTTGCTCCGGCCCTTTAGCCACCCTCCTCGCTGAACTTCGTTCTCCCGCGGGCTTTTCTGCTGCCAGCTGGGCCCTTCTCCGTCGCCGCTTGATCGTGCCCAATGATCCACGGCTCTCAGAGCTGCCATTCTGTTCCGCTGCTGCTGTCATAGGTGTCACGCGCCATTCCTTACGTGCTCTTCTCACACTTCAGCGCGCTACAGCTCTGGCTTCTGCTCATGGCCACCGTCTCTTGCTCTTGCCTGCTTCTGACCGACTTCGCCGTGACGACCGTGGTTCCTCCGATGAGCCCCCTTTCCTCCGCCGCGTCTTAGCTGTCCATAACTTGACCGTCACGAAAAACTTACCTGGCTATCTCTTCCTCTGGCCACAGTGTGAACTTATTCTCGAAGCCGTTCTTTGTCCTGAGCTTGGCATTACCCGCGGTTGCCGTCTTCGCTTTCTCGATATCCTTTACCACCCTGGTCAGCTGCGGCCCTCTCCCAACCCAGCGCTGCCGCCGTTCATCTTTGATCGCTTGCCTGCCGCTCTCTTGGTCGAGGTCCCTGATGCCACCTGGATCAAAGAACCTTCCCTTGGCCCTGGCCGCTTTCTCCTCCTGTGTCAAACGCGCTCTTGGCTTTTCAAACCTGGCACTGCTGATGGCCATTATTGCCCAGCTACCGTCCATCGTACCCAGTTTCCAGCTACGAACGCCCTCGCATTCACCGCCTACGTCCTCCAAGGCGCCACCGTGCCAGGCATCTTACTGGACCTTGCCAAGCCACCGGCCCAGTCTCGCGACGAGTTCTGGATGAGCTTGTACGTTTTGCTGTCCCGTGTCACATCCTTGGACCACATCTTGTTTTTCCGGCTACCGTCCCCTGCTCAGTGTCAAGGCGGCCCGCCGGCCTGGCTGAAATCCGAGATGGCTCGGCTTCGGACCCTAGAGCAACAGACACTCCACCGTCTCGATGCTCACCTGGCCACGTCTGCCCGCGAAGACTTCCGAGCTCTTGTCACGCAACCTTTGCTACAAACTTCGTTGCATCCCATCTCTGCATCATCCTCGGCCGCACCTCCCCTGCAATGCAGCGCAGCGCCGTCCTCTTCCGCAGCTCCTCCTCTTCGACGCCGCGCCCCGCCGTCGTCAGCTGCAGCACCTCCCCTTCAGCGGCGCCGCCGATGTGACTGACCGGTCAACAGGACTGCTTCCTGCTGTTGCTGTTCCTTGTCGCACATTGACATTCTGCGTGTCAGCTTCTTTTTTCGAGCCTTTGCCTTGCTGCCCTGCACTTCCAGCGCTTTCGGCCCAAGCTTTGCACCCTCGTTTGCTTTCCTTGATTCGCTCTGCGCTTCTCCGCCATGCCTGCGAAGCCAGCTACACCTACTACGCCTGCGCCTTGCCTGCATTTCTTGTCTGCTCCCATACCACGGCCACCTGCATCGAAGATATAAACCTGTACATTCCTCTATCCTCACCTTGCCATATATACTATACATTCCATCGCATCACGCCTACTCTTTCTGCTCCACAATGTCCTCTCTCTGCCCGTCTTTCCGAGCAAACCTAGCCGCCACCAGGTCGCTGCGAAGCGCACACCTGCGAAAGCCGCGCCTTCTTCCCCGGCAAAGAAGGCCCGTCCTTTTCATTTCCCCTGCTGCAATCCGTTCCCTTGACTTCTGCCAGGCTTCTTCTGCTGCTCCCGCGGTCGTCGTGCCCAAGGCCCGTGCTGTTGTGACCGCGTCTCCCGAACCATTTTTTTCATTAGGTGCTTCCACGTCCCAAAACCCGGCAATGAACACATCCATTTCTTCGACCTGCTTCCATTACTTCCCTGTCTTTCACAGCTCACTTCTTGTTGTTTCGACTGCTTCCGCTCGACTTGTGTTCTTCCCTCGCCAGGCTGGTGCTCCTGCTGCATTGCCCGAACCTGCGCCGGAGGCCCCGCTATGCCGTCGTCTTCAAGCCTGCTTTACTTCACGTTGTTCACGTTTTACCTTTCTGCGTCTGTTTTGCCAGGTTGCCGGGGCTCCGCACTCCATCTCTGGTGACAGCCCGCAGAAGGACACTGCGTTGCTTTTCATGTTTCCTTTTCTTTCTTCTGCTTGCGACACCACACACACGTTCACATTTCGTTACTTCGTTCGTTCAATCTTCTTTTCCATTTCGTCCTCCTTTTGTCTCTCCTTCTTCCTTCCTTTCTTTCTTTCTTTCTTTCTTTCTGTCATCCTCTCTCTCTCTCTCTTCCTCCTGCACCTTTCTTTTTTCTTTCTTTCTCTCTCTCTCTTTTTCCTTCTCCCTTCCTCTCCCTCTCCCATTCGTTCCCTCCCCCACCCTTCCTTTCATGTCTTTTTTCTTTCTCCCGCATTCTGTCCTTCGTCCTGCCAGGCTTCGCCCAAGAAGCGCGAGATGACGCCAGTCCCCTTTCAAGCTCCGCCTGCCAAGCTCCTCAAGTTCCACGAAGTCTCGAGTACACAAGGCTTTGTTCCAGAGTTGACCATCACACTGGTGCTCAGGATCTATACCCATGATGCAGTTCTGGTGCATGATCACCTCCACGATACCGCGACCCAGCTGCTCTGGTGTTCGGACCCGCCGATCTTTGAGTATTCTCACCGCGTCGTTTCTTGGTTGCAATTATTGTTTTTCCGTTCTTTTCCTCCTCTTTCCCTCTTTCCATTCTTTTTTTTTCTTTCGCGCTTATTCCATTCTGAGGCTTGGGCCGACTTTCTGAAGGAGCAGAACCTGGATGAGGCCAAGCTCCTCAAGTCGTACCAGATTGTTCCCCGGGTTGCCTCGGCGCCAACGTTCCGCAAGGGCATCTACGCGGGCGGCGGCGAACTGGGGGCGATCCAGGCCCTCACGCTGCTCGAGAATTACTTGGTCGGGCGCCTGGCAGCGCCCACCTTCGCCACGACCACGGTGAAGGCCTAGATTCTTTCTTTTTCTTGTTTCTTGCTTGTTCTCAACTCTCTTGTCCTCTTCCGTGCAGGTGCTGTGCCACAACCATACACCCTACGACCTCACGACCCACTTTGAGGCCACCAACTTGCCAGCTTTCTCTTTCGTCATGTCCGCGTGCGAGCTCCCGTCCATGGCCGTGATGGATTTGCCCCCTCCTTCACGCCCGTTGAAGCTCAAGCTCAAGGTCGCCTCGCCCGACACGGTCGCCATTGAGTTCCATGGTCGCACGTACTCCCTGCGCCAGAACCTCGCTGATTGCGGGTTCCCGGTAGGCGGAGGCTACCTGGACGCCGACGACAACTTGGTTGAAAAGGGTCCGGGTGCCACGTATGTTCGCTGGACTGAAGCTTTGCCCTTCAAGACCTTATTGAACATCGCGGACATCATTGCAAATACCTTTGTGGAGGTTGAGGTCCACGGTGGCACCATTCCGCCTGAGTTTCTGCCACCATGCTTCCAGGTCGTCTGAGCTCGTAATCTCATCTTGGAGACACTGAGGCGATGCTCCCAACACTCCTGACACTTCGCCTGCTTCCGCTTCGAAAATGTTCCTGCAGCTTGCCTACTGTCACCCTTCTGTCCGACCACCTTGCTTTCATTCCTTCCGTGCCTTTGCCAGGACCTCGAGCTGATCCACTGCTCCTGCTGTGTCCACGCTCGTCCCTTGCACCTTGGCTGCATGTATGCCACTTCCTTTTCTTCTTCCGCTCTTCCTTCTCGCTCTCTTTTCCTGTCCTTTCCTGCGTCGCTGCTTTGCTCCGTCTACCTCGTCGCGCTAGACCCTCCAGCTACCCCCTCCCACCCCTCTCCCACCTCTTTCCTCCTCCTCCGCACCTTCCCTTCGTCATATGCACCCCCCCATCTTTCGAAGACGCGTTCACTTTTCGCTGCCAATCTTGCTTCCTTCTGCCTTTGCCTCCCCCATATTTACCCTTCTTCGACGCTTTCCTGCCTAACTGCCCCCGCCGTCCACCCGCCGACCCTTTTTTCTTTTCTGCCTTCCTTCCGGACTGACGCCGCCACTTTTCAGCGATTTCCGAGTGCCCCACTCTTCCGCGACACGCGCGTCCCATACTCCTTCTTAGTGTTCCTTCCCCACTTTTGCTTCGTTTCCATCGTCCTTCTCTTCCTCTTTTCCTACTAATCCTACCGCTCATCCTCCTCATCTTCATCATCGTCCTCATCGCTCGCATCTTCTTGTCCGCGTCCACTGCATTCATGTCACGGGGTTCCGCAGAAGGTTCCGGCGAGCGTCTGGCCCGCGTGGTGCAACTCCAGGTCATGTTCAACAGGGTTCCGCAGCAAGTTCGACATGCACGGTCAAGTTCACAGGGTTCCGAAGACAGGGAACTTAAATTTGTTCCACGCCATCAAGCTCTGCCGAATTCCAGACTGGCTCTTTCAGTACAACTTTGCCGCTCTTGTCTTTGACCATGCCTCCAGTCAATTTAATTTGGATGTATCGAGCTGCCACTAAATCGAATCTATGCTCGCTTCGGTGGAAGCCGAATTCTAACCGCGTGTGACCCATAGAGATACGTTACCAAACGAGCTGCAAACGCTGGTTTCGGGTGGTTAGAACGAGATTAGAGCGGGTATAGTTTAGGCTTCGAACATGTTTTAACCATTCCATTTTACACCACGCTGCCGCATCCAATTTTGCATGTTACACGTTGCACCCCCCCCGACCAAAAAGGCAACCACAGTGGTGAATCTAGCGTTCAAACCTTCGCTGTTTTAGGTTTGGCTTCGGCGAATTGCTCCGACTTTGAACTGGGACAGCGCTTGCTGATTTTGGATCGCTGAGCCCTTGGCTCGCACTACATTGCCTGTGGTCGTTACCAAAACCGCATCATTTGGCAACCACCTGTCTCACATGGAACATACTTCATGGAAACAACATGTTCCCATGCCGAGATTTTCGTAGCCATGTTACATTCTATACTTCTACCGGAAGTTTTTGACGTTTTCTTTCTTACATAGCAATGGGCGAGGATCCATAGATGACCTAGACATGGTAAACAGAAATTAGCGCCGTGTATGGGTACGTGGGCCTGTAGAATGGGGCTGCTTGATATGAACCCACGACTGCCATTCTAATTGTCGTTCGTCTAAGTCTACTTCAGGTTAACCCTCTTATGTGTTATGCGTTTTCGATGTTGCTGTCTGTATAGACGACTTATATCTCTTTCTATATATAACATCTCTATATATATATCTATATATATATATATATGTCTATTTATACATATATCTTGTACAACACCTGCAGTGTCGACCTTGCAATAATATTCCCCCATTGATCTCATACTTTTTTTAATTTCCCATCCAGAACTCACGCAGGCTCCTGCGCTGCGCCGCTGCCAGCCTCGCTGCTCGATTTTTTATTGTTCCTTGGCTTCATTTTCTGTTCTTGCTGCCCTGCTTGCCTCCTCTGTGGCTTCCTCCCCTTTGCCCAGGTACCTGCGCCCGGCAGCTTTGACGATCGCGAGAAAATGCGCGCGTCCCCTCTCCCCCGTCGTTTCTTCTTCGGTTCCTTTCTTGCTGCCCTACCTTTCGTGTTCCCCCTCTCAAGTTTTTCTGATTAAGCTAACAACTACATATGTTACAGAGCGATGTTGGGAACATTGGTATTAATAAACAGCGACTGTATTTGGCAATGCATGGATGAAACCATCTCTTGTTGGCAAGTTGGAGGAAAATGCTGTTAAGATGGGGCCACTGTGCCCATAGGACAACAATGCATGCGATTTTGCACATACAGGACATCTGGTGATTGGAAATCGATACCGGTGAGTGGGAATAATGTCCAACATGAACCCATGAATTTGTCAGTTTGCTATTGTAATCAGTGTATGTGAGTTTGGAAACTACATTTCACAATGGTGCATCACGCAACAGTCCTGCCCTGGCAGCATGCCAGTGTGATTCATGTTTTCATAGTTACCCAGTGATATTGCCCTGATTCCGCGGGCCCGTGAACAATTTAACAACTGGATAGGTTTGAACGGAATGGGAATCTAAAGGAGTGAAACGTTTGCTTTGACTTCGGTGTTTGCATCCTATTCTCCATCCACATGCATGCAAAACGATTGTTGTGGGTAGTAAAACTGGACAAATATTGAAAACAATCATGACCAACTGGCTGGTGTTCCGGGGAATGTGCATTTTATCATTTTTGCGGACGTGTGGTCCCCTGCACACTCTGGGGGATAGAGGTGCCAAGTAATAAGAACAATATTACAAGCAAAAACTGGTGAAGCGTTCGCTTTTGACGCTGTTTATCTCGTCTCTTGTGACGTTGTTTTTCTCGTCGCTTGTGATGTACACCCCCCTACCCCAAAACCCTCAACCCCCTAAACCACCCCAAACCCCTATGAAATATGCCGCTTTTCTGTGGATGGTTTGGTGTTCCACCTAGCTGTGCACAAAATTTTGCGATCCCAATCGCGCCGATTCACATAAATGATCATACATGTAAATGACATGCATCTACCGGCGCAAGCGCTTGCAGATATTTATTAGTGGGCACTTGCACCAACGTAGCAGTTTAAAATAGGCGTACTTGAATTACTGACGTGCCGGACGTTGGCAAACACATTGCTGGGTTCGAACAGGTCCCAGACTAGCGTAACGTTTGCAAGTTAAGCCCTCCACCAGCTCCATTGCTTACGTGGATGTGTGCGAAGTCCGTTGGTATGTGCGCCACTTTTCCAGGAACAACTGGCTTCACGTAAATCCGCTGACAGGCATACCGATTCCAGACACTCAACACCAAATTTGTTGACGGACACAATGTTAGTGGATTTATTGTTCAAAATCTGAAAACGTTGTGCCTGTCAGCGGATTTGGTGTTGCGAGGCTGGAAACGCTGTGCCTGTCAACGGATTTGGTGTTCAGAAATTGGAAACTTTGTCCTGTCAACGGATTTGGTGTTCAAAATCTGAAAACGTACTGCCTGTCAGCGGATTTGGTGTTCAGAGTTTGGAAACGCTGCGTTTCTTAGCGAATATGATGTGGGGAGGCTGGAAAGGTTGTTCCTGTCAAGGGATTTGGCGTTCAATGTCTCGAAACGTTGTGCCTGTCAATGGATTTGGTGTTCAGAAACTGGGAACGTTGTGCCTGTCAGCGGATTTGGTGTTCAAAATCTGAAAACGTTGTGCCTGTCAGCGGATTTGGTGTTCAGAGTTTGGAAACGTTGCGTTTCTTAGCGAATATGATGTGGGGAGGTTGGAAAGGTTGTGTCTGTCAAGGGATTTGGTGTTCAATGTGTCCAAACGTTGTGCCTGTCAGCGGATTTAGCGTTCAGAATCTGGAAACGTTGTGCCTGTCAGCCGATGTGGTGTTGCGAGGCTGGAAACGTTGTGCCTGTCAACGGATTTGGTGTTCAGAATCTGGAAACGTTGTCGCTGTCAGCGGATTTGGCGTTCAGAATCTGAAAATGTTGTGCCTGTCAGCGGATTTGGTGTTCAGAGTTTGGAAACGTTGCGTTTCTTAAAGAATATGGTGTGGGGAGGCTGGAAACGCTGTGCCTGTCAAGGGATTTGGCGTTCAATGTCTCGAAACGTTGTGCCTGTCAGCCGATGTGGTGTTGCGAGGCTGGAAACGGTGTGCCCGTCAACGGATTTGGTGTTCAGAAATTGGAAACGTTGTCGCTGTCAGCGGATTTGGTGTTCAGAATCTGAAAACGTTGTGCCTGTCAGCGGATTTGGTGTTCAGAGTTTGGAAACGTTGCGTTTCTTAGCGAATATGGTGTGGGGAGGCCGGAAACGCTGTGCGTGTCAAGGGATTTGGCGTTGAATGTCTCGAAACGTTGTGCCTGTCAACGGATTTAGCGTTCAGAATCCGGAAACGCTGTGCCTGTCAGCCGATGTGGTGTTCACAATTTGGGAGCAAGGCAAATCTGCTGACAGGCAGAACGTTCTCAGACTCTGAACGCCCAATCCGTTGACAGGGACAGCGTTTCCAGCGCTAAAAAATGAAACGTTTCCAAACTCTAAACACAAAAACCGCTGACAGGCACAACGTTTCTAGATTCTGAACAGCAAATCCGCTGACAGGGACAACGTTCCCAACTTCTGAACACCAAATCCCTTGACAGGCACAACGTTTCGAGACATTGAACACCAAATCCGTTGACAGACACAACCTTTCCACCCTCGCAACACCAAATCCGCTGACAGGCACAACGTTTTCAGATTTTGAACAAATCCGCTGACAGGCACAACGTTCCCAGCTTCTGAACACCAAATCCGTTGACAGGCACAACGTTTCGAGACATTGAACGCCAAATCCGTTGACAGGCACAACGTTTCCAACCTCGCAACACCAAATGTGTTGACAGCCACAACGTTTTCAGATTTTGAGCAATAAATCCGCTGACAGGCACAACGTTTACAGATGTTGAACACCAAATCCGTTGACAGGCACAACGGTTCGAGACATTGAACACCAAATCCGTTGACAGGC